AAGTAAGGATAGTGAAATGTGTCTCCGCAGGTTGTGAATCAATCTCAGAAGAAGAGCCCAGCCTATGTAAAAATTTTAGCCCCACAAAACCTAAGACCACCAACAATAAAGATCTCTACACTCCATCCTCCTCTCTGCCTTTGGAGTACTTTTCATTCAGTGACCTGAAAACACACAGACTTTGTCAAAAAAAGAGACATCCCAAGAACTAACAGAAAAAAATCTCAACTTTTTCAATAAATACCTTACAAAATCCTAGTGAAAACCCATCCCACACCTCAAGGACAACCAATCGAAATCAGAAACTTATTCAAGGAGAGAGTTCAAGAACAGAGCAGGGGGCTGGGGTTGTAGCTCAGTAGCAGAGCCTTCTCTYACWCATGTAAGGCACTGGGTTCGATCCTTAGCACTACATAAAAATAAATAAATAAAATAAAGGTATTGTGTCTATCTACAACTAAAAACATTTTTAAAAAGAGAACAGAGCAAGGCCAACAACTATAGTCCCAGTTATTTCAGATGATGAGGCAGAAGGACAGCCTAAGCCCAGAAGCTCAAGAACAGACACTAAAGTAAGACCCTATCTCAACAATATAAAAGAGAAAACGCTCACCTAGTCGGTCAACATATCTATTGAGTACTACTGCATGTCAAGTGCTGTGCTAAAGTTATATTAACTACAAGATGATACAGCAACTACAAAAAAATCTGCATTCCTGAAACTTACTTTCTTATGGGGGGAAATGAAAATATACAAAACATTATAGGTCAACAAGGAGTAAGGAAAAAATAGAGCAGAAAAGTAGAAATGGAAAAGGGAATTATGTAAATGTATGTGAGGCCATTCTTTGCAATTCAGGTAGCCAAGGAAATGTCACTGTTACTGACAGCTGAGTAAAAATCTGAAGAAGGTAAGGGGACAAACAGACTGTGCTGCTTTATAAGAGAAAGGTGATCCAAAAGGTACAAGCAAAGAATTTCTTGAGGCAGAAGTGCACCTAGGATGCTCAAGAAACAGCCAGGAGGCCAGCGTGTATGTTGGAGGAAAGATATGCTACAAATATAGAACCTTAAGGGCAAATCTAACAACTGCTTTTATTCTGAATAAGAAAGGAAATCATCTCTTATGACTCCTCTTCATTAAAAAATATCAGGCATGACATTTTTATTAAGTAAATTTTAAATTTTTTGTTTTAAATTGTGAAGCTCTACAGATCATTTAGTGGACACAAAGACAACTGGCACTGAAACTCTGAAATTTAACTTTTGCTGCCAGAGTTCATCAGACCTTCAAGAAAAATTCTCTCGAATCTCAATCCCTATGGAAAACAGCATGGAGTCAAATACAAAAAATGAACTGAATTAATCTAACCTACAGCTTTGCACCTGTATTTTTTGTCTTGATGTCACAGGCTCTAAAAGGGGGGAAAGGGATCATATTGAACAAAAGGGGGGGGGGAATGCATTTGGAAGAGGAACCACAAACAACTAATTCAAGTACCAATCTGACTATCTGAAAATATAATAAAATCCTAGGAATCTGTGAAATTCCTGAAGTGGAACCTGTCACCTTCCTCCATCCTATGTTTCATGCTGCCTACGGCCATTAGGACTAAGGCTTCTGAAGCCTCTTCGAAAAAAATATATATTAGGACATTCATCCAACTGAAATCTGAGTTTAAATTTTTTCGCTTTTCTTCCTTGGGTTTTAATGCAGCTCCAGGGCCGTTACTGGGTCATTTCTAATCATTATCCAAGAAAAATTCACTTCTGACTAAATATTCTTTGGAGTTGTAAGTCAATGCTCACAAATGCTGAAAAAATGCTAGCCTTTTGAGAAATCGAATCAAAAAGGGTTTTCAGGGGCTGAAGAATGAGTTATCAGCTTAGTGTAGGCCCAACTTTTTTTTTTTAAGCTCCAGAAACGTCCCCCAGCACGTGCCGCCTCAAATCCCTGTCCCTATTATAAGGGACACCAACAGGATTTGAAGCACTTCAACATCTCTCCGTCTCATTTTTTCAAGGCTCGAAAGATACACGGGCACCCGAGAAACACATGGAAACTAGTCACCCTCAAGCACTGCCAAGGGCGCAACAGTTTTTAGGTCCGACCGCACAGGCCACAGGTGGCGCCAGCACCCCCGCCCTCTGCCCCGCGGTCCCCGCTTCTCGCCTGCGCTCCCGGCGCACACTCGGGGTGTCTCCGACCTCGGGGCGGTCCTTCCCGGGGACTCCGGCCCTGACCCACCGCCCCCGGCCCGGCAGCTCCAGCGTGGGGCACCCAGGCCAAGAGGCCTYCGCCCTCCCACCCACGCGTCCGCGCGGCCGCCACGCCCCCGCCCCACGGGCCGCCCGCCCCCTCGGCCGCGAGGTGACCTCACCTCACGCGGGCCGTAGCGGGGAGGGCGCCAGCGTCTCCGCCCGCCGCCCGGGCCCACGGCCGCTCGGCTGCGGCTCGGCCCCGACGGCTGGCGGCGGCGCGCTTCTGGGGGCGGGCTCTTCTTGGAGGGGGTTTCCYCGGGGCCCAGGGCGGGGGAGCAGGGGGGACCGGGGCGGGGGAGGGGAAAGGGACTTGGGAAGGAGGGGGGGAGAGGGGAAGAAAAGGGGGGAAACCAAACCCGGAAAGGGAGAAAAGGGGGGAGGGGGAAAATCAGAAGGGGAAGAAAGGCCCAGAGTCCGCCCCCCGCTGCGGCCTGCGCGATGCGTCACCACGGCGTAGTCGTCACCGCGTCTTGCGCTACGCGTGTCTCTGCTTCCTGTGTGCGCCTCTTCACGCCCGCGGGCACCCACTCACACTCAACGTGCGCGCCGCCAGAGGCATGCTGTCTCTCGCTCCCGCGTGTGTGGTCATGCTTCCAACCCAGATTCCCTAGGGTCCTCGGTCCACCCTAGGTTTAAACATAATGCCAATAATAACTGAGGAATTTCAGTTACAGAGCTCTTTCAAAACAGTCTTTCACTTAGGAGAGTAACTTCTGCGCCTAAAAGAGAACACATACTCAATAAATATTTGTATAAATAAAGAAAAAAACTGACTTGGGAGAAACTCTGGCCATCGTTATTAAAATCTCTTCTTACCATCACCCATTCCTCAAGATATCGTTCTTTTTCTTAATAGTCATCTTAAATTTCGCCATTCTATCCAGATGGAATCAGTCCCATTATTGATTATGAGTATTTGGATAATTTAATGACCAACTTCCTAAAAGAAGCCGTGCACTTTACATTGATGTAATTCCACCATTACGTATTGATTATCTGAGAGGAATGTTCCACGATTTCGAGTTGAAAGCATAGTGATGGCCAGGAAATAATARCTAATGTTTGTATAATCTTTGTGTAATGTGCAAAGTGTAGCATTCTATAGAATGTGTAGCATTCTACATCTATTTAATCCTCAAGACCATAGGTGCTGTTATTGTACCTGATTTATACATGAGGAAACCTGATGCATATTAATTTAGCCAAAGTCCCAGACTTTGAACTAAAGCAATTGATCCTCAGAGCCTGATCTTAACTACTCCATAAGTGTAACTGGGGGGAAGAAGTGCAAAGGCCAGATATGGTGGCATGTTCCTGTAGTCCCAGCTACACAGAAGCTGAGGCTGGAGGATTACTTGAGTCCATGGGTTCAAAATCAGCTTGGACAACACGGGGAGACCTGTTTCAAAAAAAAAAAAAGAAAGAAAGAAAAGAAAAGGGAAGGGAGGAAGAGAGGGAGGGAGGGAGGAAGGAAGGAAGGAAATGTAGCCAGGCAGTGGCTCACAACCATAATCCCAGCATTATGGAAGACTATGGCAGGAAGATCACAAGTTCCTGGCCAGCCTCAGCAACTTAGAAGCCCTAAGCAATTTAGCAAGACCTTGTGTCGAAATGAAAAAGGCTGGGGATGTGGCTCAGTGGTAAAGTATCCCTGGGTTCAATCTGCAGTACAAAAAAGAAAGAAAAGAAATGTAACTGAAAAGAGCAGATTACCAAGGACCTTGATATAGAGTGAAATGGTCTGAAGTCTTTGTAGAGTAAGTGCAGCAACTGAAGAACAACTAAGGCAGAATCATTGAGGCATTCATCCCTGAGAGGAGCCTTCCTCTACTTCTCCTTTTTTGTCTACCTCTTTTCTTTTTTTTTTTTTTTTTAATTATTTTTTAATTATTCAGGAAGGCTTATTTCCCAGCTTCACTGGGAAAAGAGAAGCAGCTAAAGTCATCTTAAGAGTTGAGGGGGGGGCTGGGGATGTGGCTCAAGCGGTAACAAACTCGCCTGGCATGTGCGAGGCGCTGGGTTCAATCCTCAGCACCACATAAAAATAAAATAAAGATGTTGTGTCCACTGAAAACTAAAAAATAAATATTAAGGGGCTGGGGATGTGGCTCAAGCGGTAGCGCGCTTGCCTGGCATGCGTGCGGCCCGGGTTCGATCCTCAGCACCACATACAAAGATGTTGTGTCCGCCAATAACTAAAAAAAAAAATAAAGTATTAAAATTCTCTCTATCTCTCT